TTTTAAAAGCCCCTGATGCTGGGAAAAATAGAAGGCAGGAGATCTTTGTCTTTCAAGATAAAGACAGAAGGGAATGACAGAGGATGAGATGTGTTGGAATGCATCACTGACTCAATGCACATGAGTCTGTGTAAATTCTGGGAGTTGGTGATGGACAGGGAGGCCTGGTGTGCTGCAGTTCATGGGGTCACAAAGAATCAGACATGACTGAGTGACTGAACTGAACTAAACTACTTCAGTTCGTATGATAATCTCTAGGTCTGTCCATGTTGCTGCAAATGACAATATTTCACTCTTCTTATGGCTGAGTAATATTCCATTGTCTATGTATGTACATGCCATATCTTCTTAAGCCCATTGTCTGTTGATGGGCACTTTGATCATTTCCATGTCTTTTATAAATAGTTCTGATAGTTTCCATGGCTATTATAAATAGTGCTGCTATAAATATTTAGTTGCATGTATCTTTTCAAATTAGAGCTTTAACCATTTTCAGATATATGTCCAAGAGTGGGATTTTGGGATCATAAGGTAGTTCTATTTTTTTATTTTAAGGGACCTCCAAGCTGTTCTCCATAGCGGCTGCACCAATTTACATTCCCACCAACAGTGTAGGAGGGTTCCTTTTTCTTCATACCCTCTCCAGCATTTATTATTTTTAGACTTTTTGATGATACACCTTCTGTTTGTTATGAGGTGATGTCTCATTTTGGTTTTGATTTGCATTTCTCTAATAATTAGCAATGTTGAGCATCTTTTCCCACACCTGTTGCCCATCTGTACTTCTTCTTTTGAGAAATATCTATTTAGGTCTTCTGCCCATTTTTTTTGACTGGCTGTTTGTTTTTCTGATATTGAGTTATATGAGTTTTTTGTAAATTTTGGAAATTGAGCCCTTGTTGGTTGCATCATTTGTAAATATTTTCACCTTTAAAGGGTTGTCTTTTCCTTTTGTTGATTGTTTCCTTTGCTGTGCAAAAGACTGTAAGTTGGAATAGGTTCTTTTTATTTCTTTTGCCTTAGGAGTTGAATCTAAGAAAATATTACCACAATTTATGTCTGAGGGCTTCCCAGGTGGTGCTATTGGTAAAGAACCTGCCTGTCAATGCAGGAGTTGCAGAGGTTGTGGATTCAGTCCCTAGTCGGGAAGATTCCCTGGAGGAGGTCATGGCACACTACTCCAGTATTCTTGCCTGGAAAATCCCATGGACAGAGGAGCCTGGTAGGCTGCAGTCCATGGGGTCGCTAAGAGTTGGACACGACTGAGCGACTTCACTTTCACTTTTCACTTTCATGCATTGAAGAAGGAAATGGCAACCCACTCCAGTGTTCTTGCCTGGAGAATCCCAGGGATGGGGGAGCCTGGTGGGCTGCCATCTATGGGGTTGCACAGAGTTGGGTACGACTGAAGCGACTTAGCAGCAGCAGCAACAGCATTAAATCTGTAGATTACTTTGAGTAATATGGCCATTTTAATCATATTAATTCTTTCAGTCCAAGAGCATTAAGACTCCTTGCCATTTCTTTGAATCATGTACAGTTTCCTTTATCACTGTTTTATGATTTTTAGCATATATGTCATTTACCTCCTTGGTCAGGTTTATAAATGAGCCTCTTTTTTTAAAAAACTATTTCTTTCTCATACGTCACTGTTAGTATAAGGAAATTCAGCAGATTTCTGTATATTAATCTTGTATCCTGCTATCTTGCTGAATTCATTTATTCTAATAGTTTTTGTGTGGAGTCTTTGGGGTTTTCCATATATAGTATCATGTCATCTGCATGTAGTGACAGTTTTCCCTCTTCCCTTTCAATTTGGATACCTCTTATTTCTTTTTCTTGTCTGGTTGCTGTGGCTAGGATTTCCAATACTATGTTTAATAGAAGTGATGAGACGGGGCATCAGTCTCTTTTTCCAGAATTCAGCCTAAAGGCTCTCAGCTTTTCACCATCGTGTATTACGTTGGCTGTGGGCTTGTCACAAGTGGCTTTTATGATACTGATATATGTTCTCTGTATACTCACTTTAGTGAGAGTTTTTATCATGAAAGGATGTTGAATTTTACCAAATACTTTTTTATGCATCTATTGAAATGATCATTTTTTTCTGCATCTATTGAGATGATCATGTGGCTTTTGTTTTTGTTGTTGTTAATGTGGTGTATCATGTTGATTGATTTGCATATGTTGAATCAGGCTTGTGACCCTGGGATGAATCCAACTTGATCATGGCATGTGATCCTTCTTGTGTATTGTTGGGTTCCATTTACTAATATTTTGTTGAAGATTTTTGCATCTAATTTCATCAAAGATATTGACCTGTAATCTTTTTTTTTTTAATAGTGTCTTTGTCTGGTTTTAGTATAGGGTGCTGGTGGCTTCATAGAATGACTTTGGGAGTGTTGCCTTCTCTTCCATCTTTTGGAATAATTTGAGAAGGACAGATATATTATTTGTGTGTTTGGTAGAATTCCCCAGTGAAGCCATCTGGTCCTAGACTTTTGTTTGCAGGGAGTTTTTTGTTTATCTATTACAGGTTCTATTTCCTTTCTAGCAATCAGAGAAAAGAGAGAAGACCCAAATAAACAAATGAAATGAAAGAGAAGCAACAATAAGTGATACCCCAGAAATACAAACTTCAAAAACAAACTTATGGTTACCAAAAGGAAAACATAGCGGGGGATCTGTTCAAATGATCTGTTTCTTCTTGACTCAGTTTTGGCACTGTGTTTCTAGAGGTTTGTCCATTTCTTCTAGGTTTTCCAATTTGTTGGCATATAATCATTCATAGTATTTTATTATGACTAAATTTTTAAATTTTATATTGGAGTTTAGTTGATTGACAATGTATCAGTTTCAGGTGTATGGCAAAGTGATTGATTATACATACACATATAACTATTCATGTCCAGATTCTTTTCCCAGATAGATTAATACAGAATATTGAGTAGAGTTCCTTGTGCTATATAGTAGGTCCTTGTTGATTGTGTATTTTATATATAGTAGTGTATGTATGTTAATTCCAAACTTCTGATTTATCCCTCCCTGCTACCTTTTCCTTTTGGTAACCATAAGTGAGTTTTTGAGGTTTGTATTTCTGGGGTATCACTTGTTATTGCTTCTCTTTCATTTTTTTTTGTTTATTTGGGGCCTCTCTCTTTTCTTCTCAGTGAGCCTGGCTAGAGGTTTGTTGATTTTCTTTATCCTTTCAAAAAAAGAAAACAGGTCTTGGTTTTATTTATCTTCCGTGTTATTTTTCTGATCTCTATTTTATTTCCTGTCTGATCTTCATTATTACCTTTTTGCTGACTTTGGATTTTGTTCTTCTAATTCTTTTAGGTGGTAGATTAGGTTGTTGACTTCATATTTTTCTTGTTTCATGGAGTTTTTTTACTTGATAAATGTAAAAGACTTCAAGGACCATAGAAGCATCTTTATCTTCACTTTAAAGTGCAAAAGGAAACAACCACAGTGTTTGGCTAATGAGAGCAAGGCTGAACATATTTGCCCCTGCCATCCCCTCTCACCCCCCAAATACAGCCTTTAGTACTGACCATGAAGTGTATGGGAAAATCCTTTTAAAACTGGCAAGGTATCTATAGGAAGGAAGAAGCCCTCAGGTAATAAGCAGCAATTCTTAAGAACCTCATCACAACTGTAAACTTGAACCTCACAGACTCACCTCTTGTCCAGACTCATTTCCTCTGCATTTGGTATTTTTGTTAAAATGAATTTTTCCCCCGCCTAATCTCAGAGTCTTCACTGTCCCTGGCAGGGACATGGAAATGGTAATTCATCATATAGAATTATCGCATAAGTCTGCACGGGACCCTGGTTTGAGGTTTACAGCAAAGGTGAAAAAGAGCAAAATCTGTTGAGGGAGAAAACGTGGGGTTGGAATAAGGTGAAAGGCGTATTTAAGAGCCACTAGCAGTTCTTGCCTGGAGAATCCCAGGGGCGGGTGAGCCAGGGGGGCTGCCGTCTACGGGGTCGCACAGGGTCGGACATGACTGAAGTGACTCAGCAGCAGCAGCAGGTAAAGGATATGTATGAATTTTCTGTCATCATTTTGGCACAGTATTTTTTTAAACCCAAAATTATTCCAAAATTAAAACAGTTAATTGAATAAAATGAATAAAGAGAGAAGACACTGTTTTCAGAAGGACCATGGAAAATTTTCAAGTTGAAAAATTTGAGTTCAAACTTCAATTAATTTCTTAAAACATTCACTGTTCAGACCTCATTTTTACCATAATGCTGTTAAGTCCTCTATATTTCCAATCTATGTCTGCATCTTATATTTTTATTATTTTATTTCCTATTTTTATATTTTCACAATGTTTGTAGTGCTTTATTTTACTTTTGGAAGGATGTTTTATTTTTAAAGTTGTCAAATTTATTAACATTTCCCTTCATATTTTCCTTAATATTTGGGTTTTGAAGTCCTGAACAATATTCCTCTTTGTGGCCCTATAGCAGTTTGAGTTTTACATTTTATTTTCAGGACTTTAATATGACAAAGAATGATGTTTATATTTGCAGAGGAGTATTGATTCAGTGGGATTAAGGAATAGTCTTCCTCCCTCGCCCAGTAATTCTTGCTCGTGCTTGTCATGTGGGAAAGGGTTAGGGCATGTCAGGGGGAGTCTGACTCGAGTATTTCTGGATTTATCGCTTTGTATGGGCATTGGACTCTTGCTTTTGGTAAGATGAGGAAATGTCGGAAACTCTGGAATGCGAAGGAATAGGGTCAGATTGAGAAATAAATAAGAAATAAAAGAAATAAAAGATGATTGAAGAATCTTGAGAAGATAAAAGGAATTTGTTACCAGGGTTGGTTTTGTCAACTTAGGATTTATTTTTATATTTTTATGGATGCATACACTACTTGCAGAAAGTAAATGAAACTTAAGTGTACATATCAATTCATGTATTATATACAAAACTGACTCAGTCCTATTAAGAATAGCCAGGTCAAAAACCAGAATGTTAAAACCCTATCATATAATAGCCATCACTGCAGGGGTTGTTTCTGGAGGAGGAGTGGTCTCGGGGCGATAACTCGCGGTGTCGATTCTGGCCCATTCACAGCGGCCGTGGTGCCCGGGGGCACACGTGGAGTACAGGGACTGGTTTCCCTCCCACACGCTGTAATCGCAGTCTTCCTGCTCCCACACACACTCCTGTCTATCAGGTTGGGGGCAACCGCGCCAGCAGAGAAGGCACGGCTGAATCTAGAGAGAGAGGGAGGTCCAGGGCTTGTCCCAATGCCCTGCCTTCTCCTGTTCACAACCCTACCCTCAAAAACATGAGGGCGACAGGGATCTGAATACAGGTGGAGTCTAAAGGTGTTGAGGGGGTGGGGGGCAGGATGGAACTTGGGAGAGGAGGCCAGGGAAGAGGAGGAAGGTGAGAGAGTAGGGGTCATCCACAGAAGGACGGAGGTGGGAGGGGACTCTGAGCACAAGGACATGGGACAAGTCCTGCACCAGTGCCTGGGCAGTAGAACCAAAAGGCGGGGGAGGCGCTCACCTGACATTTGCATCCCCTTTTGTACAGCGCCTTGAAACCTAGCCTCTGCTCGCTGGTGAGACGGTACCAGAAATGTACCATGTGGCATCTCGTGAAGTACAGCGCCCCCTTCCTCAGATAGCCTGCAGTGGTCAGAGAGCAGATGGTGAGAGTCAGCACAGCCTGTGTGGGTGTCCCCCAGGGAGTCGGCCCCAGAGGGTCTGGAAACCCCGAGGCTGTCAGGGTAGAGAGTCAGCCATGAATGATGGTCCAGCATTCTTCCCTGGAAAAATCTGTCAGGTCGTGGAGAAGGGGCCCTTGGTCCTTGGCGGTGCTGGAGGTGCGGAAGTAGAGTGGGTCACAAGGCAGAGGGGCTGAGTGTGGACAGGGTACTCACCTGCAATAAGTAGTTGTGATTGCTGAGAAGTCCTCACCTCATAACCACAGCTATCCCAGGCCTTGGGTGTGTATACAGAAGTGATGGGGGGGGTCTTCTTGGGAATCTTGAGTATCTGTGATGGGAGGGATCAAAAGAGCAGGGCCTCAGTTTCTCATAGAAGTTGCTGGTATTTAGAAAACAACCACCTTCAGCAAGCACAGATTGGAGAGCTTGTTGATTTTGAGGGAAGGGGATAAGAAGGAAGGAGGTGTTGGGTCTGACCTGAGTGATATTGATTCTGTAGTTTCGTTTTAATGCGGTGTCATTTCCACGTTCCAGTATATTACCTATTACAACTGGGAGGAGAAAAAAATGGGTCATTGACTTAAGAGTCCCCCATCCTAAATCTCCTGGAGACCTTTTCCCCATCGCCAGTGCTGCCCCACCTCTGCGTTTCTACACCCCATTGTGAGACCCACCACCCTCCTTGACGGATGCTTCTCTGGTGTCTCCCTTGACTCACCGATGTCTGACGTGCAGTAGTATGTCTGAGGATGCCGAAGTTTACACTCACAGGCATCACAGGGTGTTGAAAGAGCCAGCAGCAAAGGAAAGGCCAGCAGGAAGGCAGGACCCATGGTAGTCCCTGGGGAACAGAGGGCATGAATAAAACCATGAGCTTTTTCTTTGGTCCAGCTCCCCCATCCACCCTTAGACAGAAACCAGCCTGGCTTTGGAAGACTGTCTACCTCCCTTCACCTCCAGGGTCATGAGCAGATTGGTCCAGCTCCCATTATCTTGGGGATCGAAGGCACAAGATCTGTGTCCTGCATCTAGAATGCCTTACCTTGGTTGAGCTGAGCCGAGGTGTGTGGCAGCATCTGTAGAATGTCCAGCACCGCAAGCATAAATAGTCACCTGCACCTTTCACCCTGGGGTGTATCCATCAGGGAGGTACAATGTGGTTACTGGGTGTACTAGTCCCTTGGAAACTTTTCTCTCTCATCTGCATTTCCTTTTCATCCTTCAGCCATATCAACCAGACTGGTAGGTCCGGTCTGATTGTTGAGTGCCCTTGCCATTTGGAATCCTTCTCTGTATGGCTGTTCGGAAAGCCACTAACTCCACATATATTCCTGGGCAGTACTATAGGCTGAGCTGTGTCCCCTAAGATTCACATGCTGAAGTCCTAACTCCCAGTCCTTAGAACATGACTGCGTTTAGAAACAGGGTCCTTAAAGTGAGAATTAAGGTGAAATGAGGTCATTTGGTTGGGTCCTAATCCTATATGGTATCCTTGTAAGAAGAAGAGATGAGGACACAAACTTGCATAGAGAGACATGTGAAGATACAAGGAGAAGATGGTCACCCACAAACCAAGGAGGTACTCTGAGAAGAAAACAGTCCTGCTGATGCTTTGATCTTGGGCCTGTAGGCTCAGAACCGTGAGGAGATAAACTGCTGCTGTCCAGGCTGCCCAGTATGCGTTGTTTTGTTATGGCAGCCCTAGAAAATGAAAAGGTTCGTATGTTTTATTTTTAAAAACTTTTTACAATTTAAATTTGCATTATGATTTTGGAAAGACAACATCAGCCCCAATACCAGATCTACCAAACAAGATTTGTTCAGTCACCTAACTTCTGTTTTTACATACACCTCTGTTCTCTGCCCTGCTCCCTTAGGCTTTAAATAATTGTATTATGCTTTATCCGCCCATTGCTCTTCTAACTGAAACCTTTATAAACATAGACATAAACACATTTACACCCTCTCTTGGGTAAAACTGTAGCATTGTGTGTGTGTGTGTGTGTGTGTGTGTGTGTGTGTGTATAAAACATATATTATATGTATGTATGTTTTGTCATCTTGTCATTTTTATTTTATGGCATATCCTAAGATGACACCATAGTGATATATATTCCTCATCCTTTATACAGTTGTATAATACTCCATGTTGATGTGCTCTGAACTATCCAACCAGGTCCTAATGATTGATCATTTTAACAGTTTCCTGTTTTCCCTTACAGATAGTCCTTCAGTGAACAGGCATGTTAATATATTTTATGTTTGACCATGTGTCTTTAGAAGTGATTTCTAAAAATAGAATTGAGATTAAGAGCCATTTGAATTTTTTCCTGTGACTTTTCCATATCTTGTCTAATTTTTTTCCTACAGAGTTGATTGACTTGTCCTCTGTTTTTGGAAACTGTGTATTAAACATGTTAACTCTTCACAGAATGGTTGCAAATTTTCCTCTTAAAATGATTTACTCCTCTTGAGTTTAAAAAATTTATTTGATATAATCAGTTTAACAATATTTTGATTAACTGCTTTTGGAATTTGAGTCATTGTTAGCAATGGTTTCCCCTGGTAAGAGAGATTAGAGGATTTTTATCCACGATTTCTTCTATCTTTTACATAATTTCACTTTTTATATTTAGATCTCTAACCCATTTGGAATTTCTCATAGTATGATACATGAACACAGTTTTATCTTGGTCCTTATTGGATATATATCCAATTAACCTAGTACATTTATTACAAAGATAAGATCCTCTGTACTTAATTGAGATGTCACCTTTATCACATACTAAATTTCCACAGGCATTTGAGACATAATTTTCTATTCAGTTTATCTGTGTGTCCATTCCTTCATCGGTACCAGGTTATGGAGACCTTAAAACATAATTGTATACGTTCGAAATGCATTAGTACTCTTCTAAAGGAAATTTTTTCTTTTCTCTCTTTTTTTCCATCTGCTAGAGGTCACACCCATTCTTTGGCTCGTGATGTCTTCCCATCTTCAGAGCCGTCAATGGCTAGTCAAGTCTCTCACATCACAATACATGTTACTGACTCTTCTGCCTTCTACATTTAAAAGGTCTTTGTTATGACTTAGGTTCTACTCAGATGAGTCAGGATAACCTCTTTATTTTTATTTTGTTTTTCGGTCATGCCATATGGCATGTAGGATCTTAGTTCCCCAACCAGAGGTCAAACTGTGACCCCTGCAGTGGAAGTGTGTAGCGTTAACTGCACTTTGTGAATGAAATGTGTTATTTTTTCTTTAGTGCTTGTTAGAATTAACAAGTGAAACAAAGCATATTTGGATTGTAAGAAAAATTCAGTATACAAAGTTAAGATTGATACAGTGCTATTGAAGTTTACTATTTTGTTGTGTGTATGCTGGATATTTTTGTCTTTCAAGGAATTTGTCTAGTTCACCTAAGCTTTCAAATTTATTAGCATCAGGTTCTTTATAATATTTCCTTGTTCTACTTTTATTAAGCTATGATCTGTAGTGGTAGTCCTTTATTATTCCAAATAATGGTAATCAACACATTTTCTCATTTTCCTTGATTAATATACTTACTAGGTTGTCAATTTGACTGCCTTTTTACAAAAACAACCCTTTGGTTTAATTGATAGTCTCTATTTTTCTATTTACTTTTTTCACATGTATTTCCTTTCTTCTCTTGAGATTCAGTAAAATATGTCCTTCTTTTTCCAACATCTTAAGGTGAAAGCTGTGTTGTTGATATAAGACTTTTCTTTTTTTCTCTAATATAAGCATTTAAAGATGTAAGTTATACTTCAAACACCCTTCTAGCTCTGTCCCACAAAATCTGAAATGTTTTGGCTCAATTTTTATTCAATTCAAAAGATATCTCAATTCCCTCTGTGATTTCTCTTTTGACTCATGGGTTGTTTGAAAGTATCCTGTTTAATTCCTAAATATCTGGAGATTTTCGAGTAACTTCTGTTGTAAATGCTACCCTGTGGTCAGAAAGCATAGTCTGTCTTATTTGAACCTTTTTAAATAATTAAGGTTTATTTTATGTCACAGCATATCATCAGTATTGAAAAATGTTTGATTTGCAATGGAAAAAAAATAGTATTCTGCTGTTGTTTGGCAGAATAATCTTTCCAGTAGGTCATGTTAGTTGATACCATAGCTTATGTGTTCTAAATACTCATCTTTATTTTTACTTATAGGAAGCTAAAGGGGGAGCTGAAATATCTAATATATATAATTCATGCAATATCATAGAATATGATTAAGTGAAATCATGTTGTTAGCTTGAAATTGGTGATGGGATGACGAAAGTATTTATAACATGGAAACAGGCAAATGTTAGAAATCAAGTGCTCTCACAAGTGCTGGTTATTAATTATTTATGACTGCAACACTGGACAGCTCCTCCATTAGAGACTTCACTTCTGATCTCCTGAACTGACCTGGAAAAAATCTCCTCCTTGCTTGGTTAGTGTGTATGTTAGAACTGGCAGATGGGAACTGGGAACTGGGCCTTTCTCACAGGAGAGGAGAGAGCAGTAGCACTAATAGGTATTTACTGAGTGCTCACTATGTTGCCCGCTAGCGATATTAATAATGTGGTTAGGCTGGCTTTCTGCTATCTCAGCTCTCTAGTATCTTTCAGTTCTCATTATGGCAATATGAGATTGCCCAGTGGTTTAAGTATTACTCCTGACTCACCAGTGATCCTTGGTCCTTAAAAAGCTCATCAGCATAGCAAGTATCTTCTAACTATGATCTGTCATTTCTTATATTCATGCTTTGTTTTGGAGTGAAGATGGGCAGGGTTACACAGGGACACACTGGTTGGACAACACACCCCAACTTGTCACTGTGGCATCTAATATCTATGATAAGAAACTCATTTTGATTCAGGTATTTACTAAAAATTAAAATGCTGTGCTAAATGGTTTTAGCTCTTACAAGGGAATAATCCTTTTTATAACTGTTGACTATGGAGCAAAAATTAACTCTGTGTTAACACTCAGGAAAGCTGGTTTTGAACAACTAAGCTCAATTTTGAGTTGAGAAACTCAGAATTTGACCATCTTGCTATGTCACCTTAAGAATAAATAATCTGAGTAAAGGCAAAAGCACTAATCAAAACATTAAAAGATGGAGTTTTATGATGTTTAAGTTCAGTGACAAAGTTTGGTAGAATGACTAAAACAAAACTATGGTTGAGGGAGATGAGGAAGGAAGTTTTGAATTAATTTTTCATTTTTATTTTCACATTTGCTTCATTGACCATACAAATAGTGTCAACACCTCATTCCTTGATTCTAGTATAATTTATTGAGTGCCTAATATCAGCCAGGGCCTGAGGAAATGGGACAAAGACAATCTTTGCTGTTTAGGATTCCAAGTTGATAGGAAGGTGTATTGGTGGTGGTAGGCATCTAGGAAGTGTTTTCCAGTAGTGTGGCAAGTGCATCAGGACACACGAGACATCTTATGTGGTCCTGAGGGTGGGATACAGCCTGAGAGGAATTCATCCTAAGCTGGAAATTTAGAGAAACGTGCAAAAGGTAACAATAGGACAGGAAGCTTACTAGTTAGTCACTATGTGTTGATGGAATCACTTCTAGAATGTGAGATAGAATTGACAAGGAACTAGTCTCACTGTAGTCATTTATATATCTATAAGATTAAAAAGAGCAAGTAAAGGTAATTTAAGATCTTGTTTCTTTATAAAAGTTACATAATGAAATATATATATATATAAAATGAAAGACATGAAAAGGAAATTAAAGACATAGGTGAAAAGATTTTGAGTCAAAAGATAACCGGGACATATGACTTTAAAGAAAAAACAAGAAC